TGAGTCTGGGGGAATTTTAAGTCCTGCAATCTGCATGCATGGTGGCTTCTGGCCCGGCCGCTTTGCACCTTGGTGAGTCGACTGGATGAGTCATGACTCCTGAGTCCCGACTCCCGAGTGCCGAGTCCCGACTCCCGACCTTATCATACCTACCGTACATCTAAACACGTACCGCACGAAGAATACTAGGTATGGTAGGTACCGCTAGGTAGGCACCGTACTTCCTTGGGCATTGTACGGTACCTAGCACGCAAGCTAGAGGCTAGTCACCTAGGTACCTAGTGTGCCAGCAGCCGTACCTACTAGGTACCGTAGGTACCGTAGGTTTGCCGGTACAGTAGGTAAGTCTGGAACTCTGGTTTTGTATCAAGAACCGGACAGTACCTACCGGTACTAGGTACGGTAGGTATACTACCGGACCCAACTACGGTGCCTAGGTAGGTACCGGACGTCTCTACGATGATAAGATACGGTCGACGGCCTTCATACCAAATTCTTGGATTGCATGAAATCAGGGCGCGTATAGGTAGCCTAGAGGTACCTAGGTGGAAGGGTCCAGCGGGTTCGGCAGATCTGCACGATCAAATCAGGGCTTGCACCGGCTTCAATTCAAAGTACGTACCTACCTGAGCGGCCCATGCCAGTGGCTATGGTAAACTACCGGTGGTACTCCCACCAGGCGTACTATTCACTTGCCCCACCCGGTGAAGGGGCCCTCCGGTCACAGCTGGTATCGAGCACGCGATTGGTACGATATGTTGCGATTCGATCTAACCATATAAGCAGAAGTCCGTTTTTATACGAACTGCTTTCAAAGACTCCATAAGATCCACACGGATAGGTATAGGTATACCCAGTACCGTACGTCACGGTTACCTACAAGCTACGGTACCTAGTTTCCAACTTTTCCGGTCGTACCTGGGTCCTGCTAGGCGGACCCAGCCCTGGGTAGGTACTGATGAAAGTACCGTAAGTGGATAGGTACCGACGCCTTGCTACACTACCTAGGTACTGTAGAGGACCGTATAAATCGCACAAGCCCCTAACGATCAGGCACCTATCTACGTTGTCCGTTTTCAGCCGTCGATATTGTGAGCTTGGCTCTACAGGAACGGTCGAGCGCATCTCGCGACTCGGGCGGCCAATGACGCGTATCTACCGGAACGGATAGCACCTTTATTGGCAAGCCGTGTTGGTGACGATTTCATTATTGGTCTCACTTGAGGTACCTTTCGTACGGTTTAGGTACTACGTACCTACGGTAAGTTTCTTCGCAACTACCTACGGAACCTGCCTACGACGGTGTACTAGTGCCTACGTCGTAGGGGAAGGACCGGTACACCTTGCCTGCGGTGCTGATTACCAGTACCGGTACTGCAATTTGCAAGTGGTGACTGGCACGGGCGGCTGCCAGCTGGTTGACAAATGGACTCGGTTATTATTTAATCGGGCCCGATTATCGGGGTCCTGCGGCCATGCACGGCTGTCGGCGTCGACCAAGCATTTTGATACGATGCATTCCCAGGGGCTATTAAAGCTTACACTATTTGCACTGATTTAATCTACAGAGTGTTGCTGATTCACTGCCAGTGTCAAAGACTGTTTCATCAGGAGCTTGTCACCGGCCTAATCAAACTGGATAAGGAGCGGACTCGTCGGACAATTGCTGGCCGGTCGTCTCAACTCAATTTGCAGCCATTGCTAGACGGCGGCGTTGCTTACGCCAGCAGTGCCAGCTAGGCACGTTTGACTTGAACCGTCCGTCGACGGCGTCGAGTTCAATGGTGTGCCGGGGCCCCAAATTACTGGGGGTACACCGTACCCGTCAGGCAAAACCGGTAGGTACAACTCAGGACTCGAGGGACAATGATTGCAGAAATGGCCCCATGCCATATTTCAAGTTGTCCGCGGGGCCCGGCCATTGCGAGGATCTGCGGGGCGCCGGGGGCGGCCGCGGGGCCCCGGCCAGCCTGAGGGTCTCGCCGTCATACAATCTATCATCTACCTACGGTATACCTACAGGCTACTACTAGCATCGAGATGGCCGGCCCGCGGTGCGCCAACGGGGTAGTCCTACTGGGCCGGACGGGGACCATGACCTTCTCAATCCGAGAAATCTCAAAGAAACAAGAAACCAAGAATTTCTGCTCTTGCCCGCCGCGCCCGGCAAACGGCCGCGATAGACGGCATGATTCCGTACGGCGTATCCTACTGTGACATCAGCAGTTGAGCACGGATCGGGTGCGCACTGCGGGCAGCGGTACCTAGCTAGCCACCCCGGCCCACTAGGCTTGGAAGTTGGGTACAGGCTAACGAACGCACTGGAAGCCGTCAGGCGGCCGAGCCGCCCCGCGTAGAGGTAAATTTGCGGCTGCTGAAGCGGTGCCCATATTGCCGTTTCCAGAGACGTGAGCTGCCGGGTCCATGGTTTGCAAACCTACCTGCAATACCCGCAAGGGGAATGGTACCTACTGCCTGGGCCCTGCACTCTGAAGTACCTATCGGAAAGCTATTATACCATGGTACAAATTCCGGTACCTACCGGTAGTTCGCACAAGTGACTTGGCACATCTCCGTGGTATCTTTGTTAGGTGGAAGGTACGGTGTACGGTGTTCCTGAATCCTGATCGTAGGAATCGGTAGGATGCCCGTCCGGCGTACCGTACTAGGACGTCCAGCCGCCGGGGGTACATCCGATCTGTTCCGCATAGGTATTGCTACTTTCCGTACAATCGGGAGCAATGCGACAAACGTGCGATTATCGGTCGATAGCGTTTGATGATGTCAGAACTTACTTCACACCTTTCTGATTGGACGCGCAAACGTCCAATGAGTCGACTCGGTCTAATCCACGTGGTACAAAAAAAGCGCTCAATCGACCAAAAAAAATCTGGTGAGTCTCAAATATCGGATTCCGTCTTCTGGTCGTACTGCAGTCTGGCAGTGCCAGCTAATCCTACCGTACTGGTGTCTCTGAAAAAGTGCAGTTTGATGTGGAGTTTGTGAGGTTGAGCGCGCCAACAGCACCACCGGCCAGTCTCAGTTGGTACTGATCCGGTACTGATTTGAGCGTTACCAGTACCGCACCGTACCGTCAGGCTGCGCCCAGTTGGCGCGACAGTTTCGATGCAGTTTGTCAGGAGACCGAACAGCAGTGCAACTGGAGCTCGCCCAGAGGACGCAGACTGGGAGTGAGCACTGTTCGCATCGAATTGAGTACGCTAATCTTCTCGATCGGATTTCCCTACAGGGCTCAGGTGCACACCGCCTGCTGCACTGCAAATTTCAGTCTGATCCCAAATCGCGCAGAACCAGTCCTGCCAGCTCAAGTTGCGAAGTCTCCTGCCTCTTGCAGCCAGTCTCGACTCGAAGGAGCGATTGTGGCTGGCAAGACGTCAGTCCGCGTCTAGGCTAGCGAGTCCCTGGACGCTTGAGCGCCTCTGGAAAAGCGTCCTCCTACAAAAGCCCAAAGCGTCCCCTTTCGCTGCATCATTCTCGCAAGCACATGCCAGGAGATGCTTTGGGGCTGTCCACACGGGAACAAGATCCAAGCCGTGTCGCTCAAACAAAAGTTTGCAAGTGCCAGTCATGGGGCTCCACATGCTCCCCCCCCCTCCCCCCTCGGATTGCGAGGACATGGACTTTGTCATGGGTCCGCGCAAGGTGCACAGAGCAGAGCCTGAGTTTGTTTCAGACCCCTATACAGCGCTTGAGATCGAGGCAGAGCCAGGGTTTTCTGTGGAGCGTCCAAGAGTCCTGAGCGTGCTCTCAAACCTGCTGGAGAAGCTAGTGTCGAGGAACGAAGCACGGGCACTTGCGGGGGGTTCCAGCGGCAGGCCGTACAGCAGCAAGCTCACGGTCTTCCACGGCCTTAGGGCACCCACGATCTCTATTGAGAAGTATCTTGAGAGGATATTTAAGTATGCCAACTGCAGCCCCGCTTGCTTTGTGGTCGCGTATGTGTACATCGACCGGCTCATGCAGCGGCAGCCAGACCTCCCCATCACCTCTCTCAACGTCCACAGACTCCTCATCACAAGCGTCATGACTGCGGCCAAGTTCCTGGACGACGCGTGAGTGTTCACAAAGTGCCCCCTTATTTGGGGTTTCAGGGTTTCTTTGTCAAGATTCGAGTTTGGATAGGGTTTTTTCAAGCTGGGTGCTAGCTTCTGCAGGGGTTGTTGAGCTGCCTTCGGGTTTGTATGTAGAAGGAGCCTTCTTGGATATCAGCTGTTATGCTATTTTTTGAATCTGGTCAGGACAGGTAGATTTGCATAACCTGCCAAAGGGGCTCTGTACAGATTGTTTCGTGTGTTTTGAATGTGCATTGCCTTTGCGGTTGCTGTTTGGAGACCAGCTCGAGTTCATTGATTCCAAAGTTTTGGATCACCTGGTCGATCTATCAAGATAACACATAGAGTTTCACATAGAGTTTTGTAAGTTTGCTATTTACATCAAGCCACCCAGTGCATCAGAAGTCCTTACCCTATCTACCCCATCCTGCAGCTTTTACTGCAACTCCTTCTATGGCAAAGTCGGCGGCGTGACCACGGCAGAGATGAACCGGCTCGAGCTCGAGTTTCTGTTCCGGCTGGACTTCCGGCTGAATGTGACCACTGCCACATTCGACGCCTACACCTGCCACCTGGAGAAGGAGCTGATCCGCAGCGGGGGGTACCAGATCGAGCGGCCCCTCACTCCCAGGACCCCTCCCATTTGCGACATCGTCACGTGCTCCACGGAAGCTGCGTACAACAAGCAAAAGCTCGCCCTCAGCCCCTCCAGTGCCTTTGCGTCCAATGCCATTGCGGTCTGCGGCGCGTACCCTTACTCTCGGTGACATCTGGTAGATCGGAACTTGGTATGGGGCGTGTAGTGTGTGGGGAGAGAGAGTAGGCGATGCAGAGTTTCCTTACAGAATGCGGTCTGTAAGTTGGGGCTCCCAAGGCTGGGATGCTATAGAGTGCGTCGTAGGATGCAGAGAGGGAGGTAGGGGCAGGACGACAGAGACTGTATTCACAGAGCTATAGGTGGTTATTACCCCGTCAGGTCAGGGGCAACTGCGGAAAAACGTTGGGTCGATTGATCGTACACGGAAGTTCTTAGGGGTCGCGCGCTCAGAGTCGCAGAGGTCCACCATTGACATTGGCAGGTTGAGGTATTCATTTGTATATAATAAGGCAGAGTAGCGCTACTAGTAAGTCAAACGGAGCTCGGCATCTAATGGTACTTTACTATGAGACTAGGTAGACACAAAGTGCTTCGGCACCCGGCGCTGATCAGTAGGCTTCAAGTGCTTTTACGCAGATTACGAACAGATAAGCAAGTCTTGATCAAAACAATTGCCACAGCCCATAGCCGAGTCTAGGCCTTGGGGCATTGATTGGTAGTCATAATGTCCTGTCACTTTTTGAAGGAAACAACATATAGGTTTTTGACAACTCCAAGTTGCTGTTTTCTCTCACTCCAATCCTTATCCTTACAATTTATATGGGTTTGAGGTGAATGCAATGAATGGGTTTGAGGTGAATGCAATGATGGCATGGTGATGTTCTCCTGTCAGGATAAATTCTTTAGGGTACACGATCGAAGGGCTGTATCATCAAGAGATGGTCCATCGCTGAATACCAAATACTGATTCCATTCCTGCTTGCTGAACGCTTCTCCCATTTGTGCTTGCCGCTGTGAAATATGCCTGATGAAACTATTTGAAGGCTGAAAGTCTGAAGCTGTGCATCAGCTCAGCATGATCAGCTCTGTTTCGTGTTGCACATGTAAACGATAGATATGAAGCCAGCGGCATTGATGTTTTATTGGTAGAAGTACCTTTTTAGCAACATGCATGTATGACAGCACCCAATAACACTGCCTTAAAGGAACGGTAACAACCGATTGGCATGCCAGTGGATCGGACTTGATGAAGTAACCATGTGCATCCAGTGTCGTGAGCAGCATGGTAAACCTATCGCTTGAGAACATTGCTAAGCAGACCTATCGCATTATATAATTGCATGCAGCTCCTTCTTACGACTTAGCTACACATGCACAGCAACCTTATAGTATGCATACAGCATATGCGGTCAATTGCCATGAATCCAAAATGCAGAACCAGCCGAGTCAGCCCACACTTCGTTACCTCTGGGGCGTTCGCCCCTGCCGTGGCGGCAGTCCTTCAATGCATTGCAGCATGATTCAAAGACACCGCTCCATCCGCGCGCGCTGTCTGACCGGCACTGCAGGCTCATTGCCGAGACCTTGCATGCGAGCCTGCGGATGAGTCAGACGCGTCATGCAGTCGATGCATGCGTCATGTTCCCCCCAGGCTCCGACCTTGGCATTGCTCACTCGGACAAAGCTACAAGCGTGCATGCGGCTGCATTGTGCACTACCTCACTGGCATGCATTCCCACGATTGCACAAGCAAGTTCGGACGGGCCTCGCACGAACTCAAGTATGCAGGGATCTTTCAACATGTTCAAGCAATTCAGTACTCCTTTCGTGCATGTGCCCGACTTCTGAATCTTGGTCAGAGGGAGTGGCACTGAGATTATGAAATCAAAGACCAGCATCAACTGTGACAGTGTTCTGAAAAAGGCTGACGGCAGTCTGGAATATAGGGTTGGGGCCAACAGCATAGTGAAATTGGGGTCATCGCCCTGGCGATAACAAGACCCCCCAAATCTTGCTAGCTTGATTCCGAGATCCACGAATCCGCAAGTCTGTGCTTCGATCATGTTGCAGGTGTCTACAATTCCCCATGCACATGTGCCTGTGAGGCGCTAAATGCATCGTCAGAGTCTGTGTCCCACAGTTGCTCTTCCAAAACCCCATCGGGTCATTCAAACCTGCGATGCTGACCACGTCCGCCTCCAGTCACATGAAAGTTTGCGGCAAACCGTCCCCATGTTTGCAAGTTTTCGCTTCCCAAATAAGCAGCGCAGGCTTGACGTCTCTTCTAAATGCCTGATCAACATGATCCTCTACCTGCAACTCGGTCGGGAGAAGTCAAAGACGAAACTCCGTTAACTCTTTCCCGCCAATTGCCGAGTTCGTCCTAACCCACAAAACGCCCGGTTATCGCCTACCCCAACGACTCCCCCCCCCTCCAGTCTGCATTCCTCCTCGGGAGGCCCATTGCCGGGGGCCCGTCGGCCGGGGCTGCCGCGCGATTTGGAACCAGGGGGGGCGCTCTCGCGTTTCGGTACCTCGCTCCGGTTGGTTGCTCCGCCACTCTTCGAAGCAGCTCAGTACCTGCCGAGGACACGTGTCAAGATCAGAGGCAAGAAGAGATTGCAATGGGCGTGCGGAGAAGCGCTATGACTGGAAAGAGCAGCATGGGCTGCCAGTACTTCTTGCTTGGTAATGAAGCAGGGAAAGAATGCGCCAAAGCACGAGTGTCTGGCCACGTAGGCTCTTTCCGTCCACTGTTTCTCCCGCTTTGGGCAGACTAGCCCAGTAGGCCCGTGCCTGTGTGCTGAACGTTTTACCCTGGCTGCCGATGAGTGAATTTCTCTGGGCACCGAAGAACTCCGGTACTTCCTTACTTACTTATGGGTTCACAGATCTAGAGTCGATGAGGAGATCTTATGGATCCAAGAACCTCGAGACCCACAACCCACGACCCGCATCTCCCAGCTTCACTGAGTGCCCTCCTGTCGCAACAGTGACCAATCAGATCGACTTCTTTCTAGCAGGATTTCCGAAAGTTCTTGGCGACAACATACGAGCAGACACGAAGAGGCGGGAAAGAACCAACCAATGAAATCGCTCTTCTCTTTTGAGGGGATGCTGGGGATCGTGGGCGGCTTCAATTCAACTTCGAGTACAAGACACACTATTTGAACACCGAGGAGTGAACAAAATCCTGCACTGCCAAGCGCCTCTCACCTGCGTCACCTCCTCCTGCGGGACTGGACCAATTAGATCGAGCCGTTCGATCCAACCTCTCCAGGGATCCCGCTCCGCGTTTAGAAGAGGGGCCATCGCCGGTAGTAGCTGAGTCACCCGGAACTCCTCGCGAGCCGCCTCCAGGGGGGGGGTCAGCTCCAGGGCCGGGCCGTCACTCTGCAGGGGGGGGGATCGGGGAGATTAGGACCGGGAGGACTGAGAACTTAAGGGGTTCCGAATGGCCCGAATGGCCCGATTAACTTCAGCAGTGGACAGTCATTCCTGGGCAAACGGTGATTGAGAAATTAGGGGCTGTACAGGGATGAGCGCAGGAGAAACTATTCGTGAGCCGTCCCCAGGCGATGGTCGACTCCGACGCTGAGCCATCTTGCTGGGGCGGACGGAAATGAGTAACTCGAAATGTAGACAGATGGAACAGCTCTTGATTTCCACGCAGGCTACCTCAAGGAGGTCGACTTCAGGAACGCAACGTCAGAGGGATGCGCTGAAGTAAAAATGCCGTTTACATGAACGGAAATCAAAACCAGCTAACCGGCACGAGGTAAGACTTTGTCTTTGAAGCGGTACCGTCTGCTAATCGCTTTGTAGGGTTTCGGGCTGGCCACGTGTCGCTCTCCTATTGACTGCCGGAATGATGACGCAAGGCTGTCATGTGACCATCCTGACCTCCTGTCAGCAGAACCTTCATAACTTGTGGTGACGCATCCTTAACCGTAACCGTGACCCACCCACAGACATTCAGAAGCAGACTTGTAAAGGACTGCGGGCCTTTCAACCTTGGCGACTCGTGAAATGACCCCTCCAGCACGCACCAATCAACTTCGCAAAATCATTAACCAGGCAGGTTATCCCAAAACTACTTTTGCTTAAATAACAGCAGGAATCACTTTCTCAGGTTTGGGATTCGCCGTCAGCTGAAAAAGTTCGTACCAAGCTCGCTGCCACCGAACCTAGTCCCTACGACGTCTCTGTTGAAGGACACAAAAAGAGCCTTCTTGAAGGATCCTACCTTCATCTTGATAACAGAAAAGCGGACTCAATCGTCAAGCATTGGCTAGGAAGCTAGACAACTCCGTAACCAGGCCCGATCTACGCCAAACCCCTTGACCGCGCCCGGTTAAGGCCAAACCCGCTCACCACGAAGTCCCGGTTGAACGACGTCCGGAAAGGGAAGAAGCGCGTGCGCGAGAGGAAGAGCCCCTCCGCAGGCGCCATGGGGACGATCACGCGCGAGTGGCACGCGAGCATGGGGTCGAGCAGCTCGAACGGGAAATCGCCGCGCAGAATCGCCACGGCGGCCCCTACCATCTTCCGAATCTGTGGAAAGAGAGCCATGATTTCAAGAAAAGGGATTTGTATTGAGTGGCACAAGCGAGCATTGGGTCGAGTAACATGAACGAGAAGTCGCCGCGCAGAAACGCCAACACGGCGGCTCCAACCATCTTCCGAAACTGTGAAAAAGAGAGCATAATTTCATAAAAAGGAGTTCGTAAGAGTGGCATAAGCGAGCACCGGGTCGAGGAGCTCGAACGGAAAGTCGCCCGCAAAACCGCTACTGCAGCGCCGACCATCTTCCGACTTCGTGAAAAGAGGAACATTTTGTCAGACGAATGACTGACGATTCTGCTTCTAGTCAAGAACCTAGTCACTGGAAAGAGTCTGGAGATGCGAGCATCGGAACCTATTCATTGAACGGGTTGTGATGAGCAAGGCAGCACACACCATCTTCCCAATCTGTGAGTAGAGAGTGTATACCCAAGGACGGAACTCAGATGCAACAAGAGTTCAAGGAGCGCAGAAAGAAAACCATGCCAGCTGTCGAGCTCAGTGGAGGACAACTTTAGACACAAGAAACTTCCGAAAGCACAAAAGGAGGCTCGGGCCCCTCAAACGGAGGGACAGGATGTAGCAGCGCCAGTCTAGTTCTTGCTTGGCTGCCAAGTTTGCGGATGGTGACGAGATGGGTGGTTTACAGCACTTTTTCAGACGCAACATATGATCCGCCGTTGAAGGAGCCTGAGGGGAAACGGAATGATGCAAGATCAACGCTTAGGTAGGCACCTTCTCCTCAACACCGCAAAATTCCGGAAGCACAGAGGAAAAGAAAAAGGAAAAGGTACCACCAACGACTTTCCTCTGCAGACGGCAAGCGTCAAAAGCCAAGCTTTAAAAGAAAGTCGGAATCTCGCAATCTTCAGGGCAAAAACGTCCCTGAAACTTCGAATCCAAAACGAGCCCTCACCTGATGCAGCATGAACGACTCCCCCTCGATGTGTATCCGCACCACCCGCGACCGCCCGAGCGGCTCCAGGTCCGTACACGTGGCGTTCAGGATGCGCCGGTAGTGCGACGGTCCGATCTTGTCCTCCGGAGGGGTCTCCAAAAGCCACTGCGCGGTCGGCCCCCGCCGTTCGACCCAGCTCCCCTCGTCGTCTTCTTCTTCTTCGTCGTACTCAAGCTCAAACTCCTCGCTCTCCCGTCGGTTCGCGAAGAACTCGTCCGCCGGGGACGGCTGGCCGTACGCGTCCTCTGCGCGTCCAAACTCATCGGACGGTTGGAACTCATCGGAGCGTCCGGATGCGTCCGAATCATTCTCGACAGTGTCGGGATGACGTCCGGCGGCGTCCGATTGGTTTCCGTCGGTGTCCGCACCGTCGTCCGACCGCCCCCGGAGAGCTTCCAATGTGGAGCTGCCCACGTCCGAATCGTTGTCGCCCACGTCCAAACTATTATCGCCCACGTCCGAATGACGATCGCCCATGTCCGAATCGGAAGTGCCCAAATCCGCTGCCATTTCCAAGCCTACTGTGCCGTCATTTGCGCTCTCGGAAGGAGGGGTTGGGAGGAAGTCGTCGCTGTTTCCCTCGAGGTCTAGTAGCGTTTCTGTCTCTTGGGTTAGCCGGGTAACCTTCCGCTTGGAACCCTTCTTCCCGGATCGGTACAGCCGTCGGACAGTGAAGTTGTGGAATGGCTGCCGCCCCTGAAGAGAGCGGAGGTGCACAATCATCAGATATGCCTGGGGACGGGCTCTCTGTCGTACAGGCTGAGGAAAAGCTTCTGCTCTCAACAAATCGCCGAAAGCGAATTGACCTCCAAGTAAGTCAATGTTCACCATCTTTTCACATCTCCTTTTCAAGAGAAAAAAGGAGTCGTCGACTGCTTTCTTGATATACGATGAAGGCTTCAAAGCGGTGCTCTTCGAATCAGGACACTACCTACGCGGACAACAATTCACGGCTCTTTGCAGGAACCTCCACAGGACTGAACTTTTATGTTACAGGAAGCCTACTTTTCAAAAATAAGTTCTCACATTCATCAGTCAGCTAGTGCACAGACACAAATTTCGAAGGAAGGCTCGGTGGAAGGACTCTGCGCTGTTACAGGTTCAGCATCTTTCAAGATAACCACCATTCTTCGACCATTTCAGCACGAAAGCCTCTACTTCTGAGAGGTCCGCACTTTCTGGGTGGAATTTTTGAGCTCGTCAAACGCCCTGACCTTGTATTCAAAGCAATGCCCTCTCGTCGTCATCAACACTCCTGAAGCGCATACGCCCTTCGAAGCTGTGCAAGACTTCCCTGGATCGACACTAACTGGAACCCCAGAGGCCTCACATTAGTCTCAAAAATGAACCCATTCAGTAGAGTACCAACACCGGTGACCTGACCAACCGAAGCCCTCAAAAGATCGCAGAAAAGTGCTCTTCCCCCAGAAAGTGGCGCTGCGCCTTACCTCGTACTTCCTCAAAATCGCCCGCAGCTGTTCCAGGGTGTCGTGTGCTGCCACTTCATCCATATCGTCAGTGATGCCAATGATTGAGGCAGGGAGCACGTACTCGTAAGTGCGGGCCCGGCAGTTGTGGTACGAGTTGAAGGACCTGCGCAAGGGTTTGGGAAGTCAGAAACGAATGATGCCAAAGAGGAGGAGTCTGACGATATGATGAACAAAACAGAACGGGAAGGGTCCAATCAAACAGGTGTGACAGACTCCTGAATGCCCGCCAAATGAGATGTGCAGTAGATAAAGTGTGGGAGAAAGGGGTTCGGAACACTCCGGAAAGGCGGGTGCCAGCTTCAATAAAACCCTCGGAAGGATCAATTCCAGGCAATTGCGACGAACAATACCAACTCCACCGGCTGCACGCCACATACTCAGATTTCTAGGAGCAACTAGGAGGACGGGAAGCGATCTCGTCTTTGCGGAAGGAAAGCGCTCTCGACTTCAAAACAAAACTCAAATAACCAGGTGCAAGAACGAAAGAAAACTTAAGAGCGGACAGTGTTTCTGGACAGCTAGCTTAGATGCCGGCTTAAGTTTGACTGATCCAAGATAAGCGTCGCGGTACTGCAGAGAAGTGGACGTCATGTACGGACGGCTCACTTGGTGACCGGCTGCACGCCGTACACTCGTATGCTGGGCGGCAGGTGGGCGTTGACTCGGTCCGCGAGGGACAGGCCGTCCGGATCGTGGGCAAACACCTCGGCAGGCACTTCCATTTTGAAGGAGACGACACTCGCAAGCGCGTGCACCTGACCGGGAAGGGATAGTCGTTCAGGAGCGGAACGAACTTCCTTGACTTGCAGCGTTTAAGTGACGTTCGGGACGCTTCTGAATAGAAGATTTGACATAAACGACACGGACAAGCACCTCGGGGGAGGGCGGGAATGCGCTGTTTGGGTAGTCAATCAGAAACGAAACGGCCATCTAGGGATGCAGCTTTGAGTTCTGCGGAGCTACGTTCGAATCGGAAAAAGGATCTGCTCCCCATCTTGGCAGAACACCGCTGCCACGTGCGTGCAGTCTCAAAAGAACACGAAATCGAAATCGAAATCGAAATGCAGCTGAGACGACTGGAATCCAGATACGGGCACTTTGAAAAATGCACAGGCATCCATCTTCAATAAAACGACGCTTGCAACACTGATCTGCTTTTTAAGGCAGAAACGCGGTGGGCCAGTGCACAAGACAGCACGCAGGTGAGAGTCTTGGAAGGCTCTTATGTCCAGCAACGACACAAGTGCTCTGAAGTTGACCGCAAACTTCGGTGCTAGAGAAAGAAAGCGCGCCAGCACAAGGGTTGCACAAGCGCTACGGGCTCTCAAAGCAACAGAAGGTACTTGATCGCGGACTTAAGTTGTCCCACAGAAGAAGCAAGCACCGAATCCTCCTGACCAACACCACTTCATCATCAAAGGAAGTAGAAGACTGCATAGCAAGAGAAAGTGCGTCGGTCGCTTTGGGCATTGGGCATAAGCTAGGTCGTAAGCTCACCCCCTTATCCGTCCGGCTGCTCCTGTTCCAGCCAATCTTTTTGAAGTCGCCGAAGTTGGACTCCTTCATGCCGCCCGCATCAAAGATTGCCTTTTCCAGCGCTGCCTCCACAGCTGAGCACAGATCGCAATGGAATTAGAGCCAAGTCCTTAAGAAGTAAGCCCTTGTAAGAATCGGGAAACAGGAACGTGTAGAAGGAGCCGCTCTCTAAGGATGCACGACCAAAGCCCTCCGTTTGATCTGACCGATGAGCCAGCTCGATCCATAATCAGATAAGTCATATAGACGTCAAGCTGGGCAGCAAATGGGTGTTGTGGGGGATCGTTGAGACACTAACAATGATGGAAGCAGCGACGTGACATCTGACAGCCTTGTGAGACCTTGACAGTGGCCCTCCTAAGGTCTTCAGGGAGGGGACACACAAGCAGGCCCGCCAAACTGTGAACCTGGGAGCGTCCTTCAGGGTATACTCAGTTTTGATGTTCCAATAGACCTAAGTCTCTGCTAATCTGTCTGCTTTTGCAGGAACATCACGAGAGTACTTACTCGCGCCCGGCTGGTTCCGCTGCATCATTGAACCTGCACAGGACGGCACGGAAGGCATGTTACGCATGGTCTCTGAAATCAATCACGATTGTGCCGCAAAGCAAAAATTGCTCGCCACCTCCTTGCTTCCAGTTCCTCTTTAAGCCCCGTTTGTTCCGGTGAAGCCCATCAGAGCGGTGCTATTCACGTACAGCAAACGCTGGTCACCTCTTTTGTATGTCCCTGAATTTTTGGATCCTGTCGCGCATTTCCAGCATTTCTGAACGTAAGGGCAGCCACGACAGACACGCGCTTTAGTAGTGCACCACCACCTATCGAGCGTCGTATTCTCGTTTGTAAGCCCTTCCGGCATTACACTTTACAAGCGCGAGACAACCGAGAATTCGTAGCACAAAAAGGCAGTTGCAAGTGCGCCCAAATGCACGGTGGAGTCTGCGTCCCACCTTTGAAGTCGGTGCCCACATACCCAAGCCACATTGCCACCTTCTTTTTCACCACCGCTTTCGCCGGCTTATCATCCTCCGCCGCCTGCTTATCGCCCTCCACTCCGGCAGTCCGCACTTTGTCCGCTCGAAGCCGGTTCTCCTCGGTTCGCGCAAAGTGCCCCTCCCATGGTTGACGGCTCACACCCACTTTTTGAGGATAAGCCCTCGGGGGCCGTGCAAAGCTTTTTCGGGGGGGTTCGTCCGAAGCAGAAGTGCCGGGAGGAGGGGTCACCCCCGGCCGCACCCAGACGTCCTTCGATGGCCGCACTGGTAATGACCTTGGTAACGGTCGGCGTTCCTCGCGCTCTAGTTCTTCCGGGGCGGGCGCCTCGCGGGTTTCCTTGACAACGTCCGCCGTCGCCGAAACCCTAGAATGGAATGCAAGAGAGCGGCCCCAATTTTGATTCCCCATGAGAAACGTCGGACCCTGGATGATTGTGGACTTCGAAGAGGAGAGAAACTGGCTTCGGAGGCTTGTCGCAGTTGACCGCATCCCTGGCGTGCGATTGGCTGCGGCAAGCAATTGTTTCTGCTCGAAATGGGCTTTGGAAAGGGGTACGCTTGAATTTCCAACTCTCTCAGAACGTGGTGCAGTTCTAGAATGCTTCATGGTCGCAAACATGCCCTGAAACCTCCTTCCGTTTGTGCTTGGCAGCGTCGTTAGCACGGCTCCGCGCGCTGCATTGGACGAACGGCCCAAGCCAATGCGGGCAAGAGTCCCCAGGGACTGCATAGTGAGGCCCCTCTCCGGGATACAACCGATGCGACACCCCTCCATAACCGGAGTCGCTGCTGAGGGCGTCCAGATTAAGGCCTTCCTGTTCAGCAGACTGCCATGCCGCCGTCTTCCTTCTTCCTTGTTCAGGCAGGTATGACCGGAAACCTTGCAGTCTCAGAACTGTGTTGAATGTAGCCTGTGTAGGATACCTGGAATCGGAGTGGCGCCAGGCCAGCAGGAAGCAAAATGGGCTTGGACTCCCTTGGAGGGACACCGCCTAGTACGGGTTCAATCATGGGTTCGATGCCCTGCCCAGGACAAACCGCCACCCGGGTGCCTAGCCTATCATGGGGCTCGGTCTTTGTGCTAAACCCGGTGTTATCCTCCGGGAACTTTCAATAACAGCCGGCCTATATCGGACGGCATATCAGGTCGATTTTTGGGTGGATTTTAGATGCTGCGCAAGATGAAAGAATCTGCTTTCAGCGGGCGATTACCGCGCGCGAACAAGACATGTAGTGCATGAAACGCACTAGCGCGCAAAATCAATCTGCAAATTGCGGCACATTTTTCCAAATTTTCTATAGGATGCAGCTTGGCACGTGGGAGTGGGTGTGAGACGTGGGTGGGTGCATGGTGGGCTTACACGTGACTGCGACAACATTCGGGAATGAAAGGCACTATCTGATGCATAATACTCGACGTCAATGAATGCATTTGCAACGCTACATCGAAAGGGCTGCGGTTGAAAACAAAGTCCACTTGACAATTTCCGCTCTACCTGAATTTGAAGGGGTTGAAATCCTACCAACGACATGCATGCGAAATCATCTCGTCTGAATAGACACGGCTTGTCAGAAACCTTCACTTGTTGGACAAGCCTACAAATATATTTCCGAGACTTGTGATGTCCATCAAAAGACCTTAGCTTGACTTCAATATAGCGTGCTTATGGTGGTGCCCCTGAATCGATTAAATTTTCCTCGTGTCTACTTTCAGAATCACTCGACAAGCAACCATGCCGGGTCAAAACCAATCGCTTGCAACCAAACTGCTGCAATGTCTCGCAAAGTACTGAGGGAGCGAAAACGAACGGGAATCTGCCTGATATATATCTCTTGTCACTAGCTTGACCGCATCATAATTTCAATCATAGGTGCGCTCGCATTTCATCGCTTCCAGCTCCGCAACAACGTATTAGCCTGGCCTCTTCAATGCACCCTCCGCCTACTCTCGCCCAATCTCAGAGCGGTTTGGCTGAAAGGCGTTCTGCAAATATGAGGAGCGGAATCAATGCCAGTAACGTGTATTCAGAGATACTCACAACCCAGAGTTCACCAGCGATAGCCTCAGATGAGGGCTATCGGACTTGGCGCAGTCTGTCGACCTCGTCAGATCGAATAGATGCTTCCCAGCTGAAGAATCTCATTAGGGCACTGCAATACTATATTGACTGCTTGCTGTAAGCTATTAAGAGAACCGTGGATTCATACAAGACAAGCACCGGTGGCTACTTATTGATCACAGTTCAAGCAAAGCAAGGCGATGACGAAATGGAGAAAGACAGAACGGTACATACAAAGATTTCGAGCAATGGCCAGTCGCATCTGTCACTGACTAAGAAAAGCGTACTTGCTATTCAGGCTGGTATCTAAGAGCCAATCAGAACGGGGATGAACCAAGTAAGCGCTCGCACTTCAGGGGAGTCGTACTTCTGAGTTAAGAACCAAAATGAAAGGTACGAAGCGCCCACGCACCAAATAGCAGATGTAGAGCGAAACTAGGACGGGGAAAACGTTCTTACTGAGGGACTCAAAGGTGACATGCACGTGCCCCCAGAACGAAAGCAAGGAACAGTGACGAAAACGCCCGTACACCAGGAAGAGCGGAATTCGAACCGGACAAAAGTTCACTGAGTACCTCGTACGTGGTTACAATGCACTTGCCCAAAAGCGACATGTGGGACGCACACACCGCCACATAAAGAAACAGGAGCGGAATTGGAACGGGGACAACATTCTCACTCCTAGGTGGTCAACATGCACGTGCCCCAGTGCGACGTGCTGGCCCACCGCGGCCCGAGCCCCCATTGCCAATAGAAACAAAGAGCAGAAACTAGAATGGGCTCAAATCTGCTTACTGAGGAACTCGTAAGTGGTAACCATGCACGTGCCCCAGAGTGACTGCTGGACGCACACACCGCCACATAAAGAAACAAGGGCGGAACTAGAACGGGGACAAACTTCTCACTGATGAACTCGTAAGTGGTAACCATGCACGTGCCCCAGAGCGACATGCTGGCCCACCGCGGCCCAAGCCCCATGACCAACAGAGAAAAAGACCAGAAACTAGGTTGGGCTCAAATCTGCTCACTGAGAAACTCGTAAGTGGTGACCATGCACGTGCCCCAGAGCGACATGCTGGCCCACTGTGGCCCGAGCCGCCATTACCAAATCAGGAAAGGAGCAGATCTAGAACCGGGAGAAAAGTGCTCACTGAGGAACTCGTAGGTGGTAACCATGCACGTGCCCCAGAGCGACATGCTGGCCCACCGCGGCCCAAGCCCCCGGTAGAAGCCCTTGAAGCCGTCCTCCGCGACAAGCGTCCGCAGCGTGCTCGCGAGCGTCGGACGCGCGCCGGTCTCGCTTCTCAAAACCTGGCACGATTTGAGGATCTGGGTTAGTCGAACTGAAACTGGGGACGCGAGCGTGGAGCGCGCTTCAGTCTTGCTTTTCGAATTCGGATCGGGTTAGGTAAAACCGGGAATGGAGCCTGGAAAAGCAGCCTTTTGCCACCAGCGTCCGCAGCGTGCTCGCGACCTTTGGCGCGCGCCGGTCTCGCTTCTCAAAACCTGGTTGGATCCGGGTTAGCTCAGACTAGGAGACCTGGTCTGGGGAAAAGAGCCCGTCTATAACTTTTCAAGCCTGCCAGGGTTAGGATCCGGGTGAAGACATACGAACGGGGTCTGGAAAATAGAAGATTTCCGCAACGAGCGTCCGCAGTGTGCTCGCGAGCGTTGGGCGCGCGCCTGTCTCGCTTCTGAAAACCTGGCAGGGTTTGGATCCGGGTTAGCTCAGATTGAAAACCTGGTATGTTGAAGAGGGCCGGTTTAACCCTCAAAACCTGGCGGGTTTAGGATTTGGGTTAGGTCAAACCGCGAAGGGGGTCTGGGAAAAGGAGGCCTTCTGCGACGAGCGTCCGCAGCACGCTCGCGAGCGTCGGGCGCGCGCCGGTCTCGCTTCGCAAAACCTGGCAGCGTTTGAAACCTTGCAGCGTTTAAGGATCCCGGTGAGGTCGTACGTTCAAACACGGTGTCAGAAAGAGGAGGGTCGCGCCTACGGGCCCCAACGTGACATCACTACCGTTCGCAGCGTGCTTGCGAGCATTGCGCGCATGTCAGTCTCGCTTTTCGTAGACCTGACACGGATTTGACGAACCGGGTTAGGTCAAACCAAAGAAGCGGGTCCTGGACAAAACTGGTGCCCCATCTATGCGCCTCGAGTCGACGCTTGTCTTGAGCTCGTGGGTGGGGCATCGTCCTATTGAACCCGTCCAACAGCCAGAGTAACGTGCAAGGATAGGTAAGGAAATGAGGTAAGCTTATTCGGAGCGAACCGTGCAACGGCTTAAGCACTGGCACCCGTTCGCAACACCAGTTGTAACGGTTAAATGGCTGCTTGAGTTCGCAGCATAAGAGTGATCGTTGCTTTGAAGCAGGAGCGCATCGATCGAAACAGATCAGACCTGAAGGGACCGCACCTTGAAGGCGCTTCCCTTTTAAATTGACGAAAGATTTTGGTCAGTTGGGCCCCTCACAGTCTCAGGATTCATGAAGCGCCACATTGCTTGACGCGTCAGTGCTGAGTTCACTAACTTGAAAGCTCTTGACCCATCGGACTCGGTCTTTGAGACCGTTCCGGCTGTTATTGTGGAAACCAACATTGACAACGACCGCTAATGTGAAAGCAACAGATGTATAAAAACGAAGGTTACAAGTCTGTAAGTTGACCCGGAAAGTTCGAGAGCCTCACTTGTAGCCGTGTCTTGACCGTGTCTAGCGGTGTGGTGACCAGCGCCCCGACGGCCCCCGCACACAGCCCGGACGCGATTTGGACCCCCACGATCTGAGTTTGTGACGGACGGTCCGAGTTCGCCCGGTAGCCCAGATTCCTGCATGGCAGGAAGCACTGTTTGAGAACGAGCTCAGCAATGTCAGACCAGTCTCTCTCAGTTGAGTAGGGCAGCTGTCTGCATTTGATTCGCAGATAGTCATTGTGAAGCCGGCCCCTGAAAAGGCCAGAAAAGTGAAACTGGTGGACTAAAGACCAGAAGGAGAGCTGGAGAGCGCTTTCTCAGACACTCTGTTTGTCCTGACTCCTCTAGACCCTCGCTTCCGAGTCCTTCACTGTCCATGCGTTCAAGCTTTGTCTACGTGAAGGAATCAATTCTAAAGGCTTTCTTTGCGTACCTTGACGAAAAGATTGACGATGTGGTCCCATTTTCAACTTCAGCTCATCGCTTCTGCTTGCTCAAAGTTCTGGTAACCTCGTCATCTACTATCTCAAGACTTCTGCATGTGACAGCTCACCTCCAAATCGCTCGTTGACTAGCCCCATAGGTCGCCCACCAAACTCCACTTGACGGCCCATAGGTTATGATCGACATCCCGAAACCCCGGTACAAACCCCGCAAACCCTCCTGCGCAACTATCTGCCGGATCATGGCTCCGCCCCCCAGATTTGCCACCGCAACACCGACGCCCGCTTGGCCTCGTTGAACCATCAGTCGTTGTGTAACCTGCAGGGAAGAAGGGCTAATGGGTATTCTAATTGAATTTCGGGAGTTCCGACCCTTGCTACTATCAGGTCAAGTACTAAAAGTCGACTTCAATTCTAAGAGTCACCAGCAAGAAGGTGTGGTTTGGGGCTTGGAGATAGAAACAAGTTATGCAAATTAAACAGGAACGCAACACACTGTTACTTTATAATCTCCTTAATAAGGAAGCGGTGCCAGGTGGGGTTGGGCTTCTGACATTGAGGACTTCAGACGCGAGTCTCAAAGGCACCAGAGACTTGCACAAGTAATTCCACCACTTACCACATCAACCGGCACAACGACTGTCTGTGTGACAACGCTTGCTGTCAGCCCTGCTACTCCGCTGGTTATTCCGGCGGCAGTCGACTCCGGGATGCCCAGCCGCCGCGTCTCGCTGGCCACAAAACTCTTGGTCCGCTCGAGCGTGCTCATGTACACCATACGAGCGGGAAGACTGCCGAGAATGGTGGTGCCAAAGCCCTGGGCGCGGTGTGAATAAGTTCAGTCACTAAAAAAAAAGGTGGGGGTAGTCAATGGCTCACAAGAAGATCGATTGAAAAGACTTTTTCTAAAATTTTGAAAAGAGAAGAGGCTAAGAGAGTCTGCAGGTTTGTCAAAGGGTGGAAACTTTCAAATTCTAAGGAAACAAGGAGCGGGTTCTAACCGGTTGCAGGCAACCCGCGGGATGCTTTTATTGCCCCCCCCCGCTTCTAAGAGGCTTCAAACATTGGTGTCCCTTATCAAACGGTGTGAGGATTCAGCCTCCACAAACTTGCTTTAGTTCACACCTGATATACCAGGCACTTTTGACTCTGAACACAACTTGTAGTCAACAAGCCCATCTTGCTCGTCACATACTCCTCATCTACCGAAAAAGATAGCGACCACCCCTGCATCGATCAAACAACCTACTTCCACTGCAAAGTACGCTCAGCAAAACGACGATTCCGGGTCACAGTTGATGTGCGCACCTTGTAGAAGCCACGGATGCCCTCGTGCCGGAAGATCTGCCTATACGCGTCTGCCATACTCTTGTAAGCAGTGGCTGACGCTCTGTCCTGCACCTGGACTCTTGTTTTGACCACCGTCAGGGGGTAGAGGCAGCAGGAGAGGCCAGAGAAGAGCCCCGCCCCCCACAAGAAGAACTTGGTTTTGTCGAGGCGTTCCCAATCTATCTCTGCGTTTGGCAGGGCCATGTCCCGAACATCTTCGGCCATGGCGGCTGGGGGGGCTGACATCACTGCTTGTGTGATGAGCTGTTCTTATGGCGCGTTTGTGAGTGCTCACAGCAGACTCTGCAGCTGCTTTGATAAAGTTTCCAGTGTTCACCGGACTTTCTGAGCTGAAAACATGCAAAATGACCTGCTTTGATGACTGGTGGTATGAAGTGGGTTGAATTCCAGACGGCTGGTCCAGATTAGATCTGAAATATGTTCCTCAATAGAAGCGCAGAGCGCTTACAATCAGCTGATCAACAGAGATTTTATTTTTTGCAGTGGCACTTCAGCTCCCGACAATAGCTCATCTATCTGTCACTTAAAGTATAGGTTCAGGTTGTAGAACGGATCTCTGAGTCAATCAGGGGGCAAATGTTTGGCTTGATGCAGCTAGATTGCGACCTGGGACAAAGCCTTTTGCTTCCTTCAATATACCACAAGCTCAAGGTCTTCGGATCCGCCCTCTGCCCTCAAAAGCCAGCACAAACCCAATGTTGGTACTGCCTTCAGTGAGCGCCAGCGCCCCAGGCTCAAAGTCAGGGCTCGATAATACCGTACGGTACACAACCTGCAAGGACAAAGTGGCCGAAGTGACAGGGCAGAACGTCAGCAGAGATCTCTCGAGATGATAATCATATTCAATTCAATTCAATTTATTTTTTAGTCCCGTAGGAGCCATGGGTGGCTCATGAGACAAGGTCTGAATGTAGTCTCGAGTCCTAAACGCCTCTCTAACAAAGCTAGCAACCCTCTGTTGGTTCTCCTGACCTATAAAATGACGCAGACTAAATGCGGACTGGCCAACAAACAAATCCATGTACCGCTCTGTGC